ACAAAACAACGCGTTCAGAAGGTGCAATCGCAACAGTTACTGAGCTGTTGCGCCTTCTGAACGTGCCCACTGTCAGCTGTTTTGGCAGTAACAGTTTTATAAATAGAAAATGGATTCTAATGATGAAAGTGATTTGGAATACGAGGCTTTAATAAACATAATAATAAACTGACGTCCACGCATAATGAGGCAGCGTCGAAACTTTCTATCATATAATGACGATGTGGACTTTCGCTGCAGATTTCGCTTAACCAAGCAAGCAGCATGGATGGTCTTGGAACTTATTTGAAACAAAAGCCAACACAAAACTAATAAGTAAGTAAAAACTTAATTCTTTTTGTGAAACTATTCATGTATGCTTCCATAACTATATTAGAAATGGTGCCATGTCGCCAGAAGTAATGTTTTTCACAACGCTGCGTTTCTTTGCGACAGGATGCATGCAAAGAAGAAAGAAGAAGAAAAAGCTCTTCGGGCCGAGCAATAAGAAGAGTTTGCCTTCAGACTGCGCTATTAAGAGAACGTTTTGTAAAATTTCCAGTGGAAGTGGAAAAACAGGGGCAAATGCAGAAAGATTTTTACAAAATAGCAAAGTTTCCACGGGTGCTAGCTGCTGTAGACTGCACGCATGTGAAAATTCAATCTCCAGGTCAGTACAATAATTCATATGGAAAATGTTCAGTTATTTGTACAACGATAGCAAAGACTCTTGTCTACAAGTGTGTCTACAAGTTTTTTGATTCGGGTTACACGTTTGGGCACAGCAACCCAAAATCATTCTACAAATAACTAAACCGTACCCATTCATATTTTTGGCTGACGATTGCTTGATATGTGTAAATGTTTAGGTGGTGACGACGCAGAATTGTTCCGGAATCGAAAAGGCTACTTTTCGATAAATGTACAAACGCTTTGTGACAGCAAATTAAACATTTTGGATATTGTAGCCCGTTGGCCAGGTTCGTCGCATGACGCACATATACTAAGGAACTCGCGGATATTTAGCAAATTTGAGGGAGGAGAATTCGGGAATGCTCTGGTCGTTGCCGATGGCGGTTACCCTTGCAATGGGTGGATAATGACTCCCTTGTTGAAGGTAGAAACTCAAGCTGAAGCATTATATAATGAGTCTCAAATACGGACCCGCAATTGTATTGAGCGTAAGCAGTGTTGCCAGAACTTTTTGGGCCGACCGGCTAGATTAGCAAAAAAAAGCGGCTAAAAACGGCTAAAATGTTTTAGTGAAAATTCACATGCTTTATTTAAATAAATCGCAAGAAACGAAAGACTAGTTAACACCATTAATTTATATCGAGTGTATATTCTTCATCATTAAATGAATCACTATTGTATATATCACCTGAATTCATTAATTTTAAGAGATCGTCATCTACAGTAAAATTATGGCAGCATTTTTCTTCACGTTTTAAACCGTATCTTATATATAAAATAGCGTTTAACGTTTTAACGCACATTGGATTTCTTTGCTTAGTTTTTATTATATTAATTGAACTAAATATTCGCTCTACTTCTGCATTACTTATAGGCAAAACAAGAAAACTAAAAACTAGGTTGGAAAGGTCAGCAAAAGGGTTTTCTCCTAGGGCATTTCGAAATTGATAAACTTCGGCCCAAAATTTTACAGTTGAGTCTAAATTACTCCAGGTTTGTAACGTTAACCGTTGCCATTGCATCTCTATGGATGTTATTTCGTCGGCATTATATTTGTGTTTTTGTTGCTGTAGTTGAACAAATACTTTTGATTTAATTACTTTTAATGCATTTCCAACCGAAAAAAGTCAATTTTTTTAGTGTGGCAATATTTGTAGGGAGGCGTTGGCGTAATTCCTTTATTAAAGTGATAATAAAATAGCGACCATTTTCTCGAATTATTTTCTCGGCTTCGTGGTCAAAAGCGTTTGTGCTTACTTGTGTTTTTAAATACTCTTCAAAACTGTGATAAAACTGAGGAAATGGAGCAAGGTATGGTTCCAACGGGGAGCATATAGGATCAAATATGTCCGCGCTAATAACCACTAGGGAGCATAGATGCGAAAGTAAAACATTGAGTTCATTAAAAATCTTCATTGGGTCTGCATTATTGCTTTCGAACAACTTGTTTACTTTTTGCACCTGAAAATTAGGCAAATAGTAAAATCGGCTAAAAACGGCTAACTTTTTTTTTACAAACCGGCTAACAAATCGGCTGCCGGCTAGATCGAATTTTCTCCGGCTAGTTGCTATCAAAACCGGCTAAATCTAGCCGGAAAACGGCTAAAATGGCAACGCTGAGCGTAAGTACGGCGTGTGGAAACGACGATTTCCAATACTTGCTCTTGGAATTCGAATGCAAATAAGAGAAGTTGAAAGTGTCATCGTTGCAACTGCAGTTTTGCACAACATTTGTAACATCAACAACGATGTGACTGCTCCTCCAGTATATGGAGATATAAACGATATTATTGACACGGTAGTTGATGTACAAACAGTCCCAGTTTCTGGCCGAAGTGGTAATGTACACAGAAGACACATAATACAAAATTATTTTGAAAGCTTGTAACATTTATTTCAATGAAACAATAAAAACGTTTGAATTTCAAGTATTAAATAAAAAGGAAATTAAGGTACATACATATTTCATTAGCAGGTACGTTAAACGCTTAAAAAAACATTGCTCAGAACCGCTGCAAGACATACATTCTCTAGCGGTAAAAATGATAGCTCCAACGTAAGGAATAGTTTGGCTATTTGTCTTTTGTTTACTTAATGTTTATCAATTTTTATAAAAATAAATCATAAAAAAATGCACACCGTTCCAATCCACATTGCAAGCTTTATAAAAAATTATAAAAACAACAACGTTTAACCAAAATTTTAAATTTTTAATGTGGTTTCATAACAATTTTTGGTTCGTAGTTTTAAAAATCATTAAATTTTAATACAAGAAGTTCAAGTTTGAGTTCTACTGCCGGTGTAAATGATATTTTAAAATTTTACACAAATAAAAAAGTGAAAAAAGGGGTGCGCAATCCAACAAATAGCAGTGAATAAGTTAGTATTTTAAGAAAATAATTCGTGTATACGGTTTTGAAGCCCATTCCATTTTAGTATAGTCGAGTGCAAGTTTTAAGTGGCTGAAAAATACCGTTGATTTTTGGCAATTTTTTTTTTTTGGTTGGCGGTGTCATCCATTTTTTTCCATATTAAAACTTTGCCAAGCATACTTTGTATCAAATGGGCTACAAAACTGCATACCCAAAATTTTTCTTAAAATATTAACTAAAAAACGGGATTCTTTTGCGAGTTTAAATTTGCTCCTCTTTATATAAAAATTTACTGGACTATATAACTGCGTACCAAGAATTATTATATAAATTCATATTCAAAGTTTGAATTTTTGATTAAGATTGGTTGAGTCTTAATAATTTTTTACAAGAAGTGAAACATGGATTTGAATGTTGTTTGGTCTACAAGGAGCGAGACTTTTATAAAAAAGGGTTGGCTTTCCAAAACGGAACCAATCGAGATTTCAGCGAAAGTATATGGAATTTAGTCATGAAACTTGGTCAGGATGTTGGGGGAGGCTTTCTCTACATGAATGTATCACTCTTACAAAGTAGTTGCTAATAGTATTTAAGCAGATTGTTGTTAAATAATCTTCACTACCACCCCAACTTTTTGTACAAAATGCCACTTATCAATTGTATTTTGGTTGATATACAATATCTTCAATGTTCACGTGCGTATTTGATACTTTTAATATATATTTATATTCATCAATTAATTAACTAAAACGCGTTTATAAATCCGTTCACTCGTTTTTGCACTTTTCACAAACAAACAGAAATAACAATGGCCGACAGTAACAGCAAATGTGTGCTGCCATACTTCTCGAAGCTATAAAATACAACTATAAACCATATCATTTTGGATTTCGATCCAAGGGCTTTTTATTATAAAATCGATACTTCGATAAATCATGAAAATTTTTAATAAAAAATCGCGCGATTTTTTATTAAACATTTTCGCCTGCGGCGCTTTTTATTATAAAATCGATACTTCGATAAATAATGAAAATTTTGAATAAAAAATCGCGCGATTCTGCGATCGATCCTGCGATAAATTATGAAAATTTTTAATTAAAAATTTTCGCCTGCGGCGTATGTGCATTTTTTCATTGTTTCCGTTTTGTGTTTTTTTTTGCATTTTTTAGTATGTATGGCAGCACCGGCATTTCAGTTCAATTGCTGTACAAGGGAAAAAGTGAGGTTGAATTCGGTATTTTTTGCAACTTTAAATGCGAATTACTTAAAAACTATAAGCCTCCGGAGGGTGGGGTCTTCAGATTTAGAATCTGAAAAAGCTCCTCTATACTCCCTAATATTTTGTTTTTTCCAAAGCCTGGATCCGTTTTGGAAAATTTTCCCATAAAAAATGTATAAACATTAAATAAACCAAATAAAATAGTTAAAAATTGATCAAAATTTTGAGGTACTATTTTTTTTACCTGGACTGTATTGAAGATCAAACACTTATTTTTTTAATTTCTATGGATACTCTCTTGAAGTACACGCATTTCCAAATTGTGCTTTTCCGAAGTAGTTTTTATTTGCAGCTCATGCAATTCCTTCATATTGGCAACACGCAACAAATTCCTCCAATTCCTGTTTCATTTTTGATTCACACTATTTGGCTTTTATTTCCGCAAGTTTAGTCCAACTTGACTGCTTTGCTTTTCTAGTATCAAGGCACAGTTTTTTTGTTTTTACAAGTTTTTAGTTGAACTGG